TTTGTCGCTTCAGTACACCCTATATATATCAAACAACTATACCAAAAACTATACGCATTTGATGCGCTGGTATACGGTAGACAAGTAACATTACTATACAAACTACAGAATTAAAAGGGTAGAATAAATCTTAATGTATCTGCTGAAATAGGACCCAGACATTGATGGGAATATACCATCTGTTAGCGTATCATCGTAAGCCTTACAAGTGAAGGGAAGTTTAATTATACTGAATGCCACAATGCTTCTCACCTATAACACTACCATTTACCTCATGCAGCTAGTTTTGGGAAAGTTTTTGTTTCTGATACAAGAGAATAGAAACAAAATGGAAATGATAATGAAACAGCATAGAAACGATAAATAGTATTTGCTTATTTAAGACTGACATAAAACTAAAATTTCAGCCTTCATAAATGATAACATACACATTTTAATACGACTGGAAATGACTACGTTGTGCTGGCTCGGCTGCCACATTTACCTCCTCAACCAAGGTACAGGTACATTTTACCGTCCAAACCATTTAGAATGTATACCTTATTTTTATTAGTCGTTTTGTTCAGTTCAAATATCAAATTATGGAAATACTTTGTATCACCTTTATTTTAATAAGTGTAAATACCAAATCATTCCAGCCAAAGGATAACAGGCCACCAGAGCGTTATGTCCTTTCTTCAGCCATTAGGTGTGATTAAAAAAGTAGAATTTAATAGAAGATAGATGAGTAGGTAAAAACAATGCTAAGTTAGTGGAGTTGCTGGGATGAAGCGAAAAAAAAGTGTTGTCTATTGTATGTCATGATGAGATTATTTTATTTGTTTATTTATGTGTTTATATTTCTGTTTTTATTTTGATGACGATGATGAGTTACAAATGTATATTAGTACATGGTCAGCGTTGTATGTTCTTCATTTGAGGTGATGAATGTAGTCTGTCAGATGTTGTATTGGATGGTCAAACTGTCAGGAGGTGCACATAAGGTACAGCTTCAACTGATGTTTCATAGAATGTATGAAGTGTTGAGGGGCAGTGGACTGGATGTTCAAGTATGTTAGCAAAAATATCATTTGGAGTCCTGAAACTTCGTAAGACATATGGAATTCGAAGGTTCCGCCGAATGTGAAGAATTATCTACGGAACTGTAATACTATCGTAAAGGTCTTTATGTTTAAGACCCGGCATGGTCAGGTGGTTAAGGCACTCGACTCGCAATCCGAGGCTCGCGGGTTCGAATCCCTGTCACACCAAACATGCTCGCCCTTTCAGCCGTGGGGGCGTTATAATGTGACGGTCAATCC